AAAAAAAAAAAAAAAGAATAGCAAACTACTTGCAAAATAAACCTACAATGTATGAAACCAAACTACTTAAAATTTATACTCAAAAAATAAGAATAAAACTGAAATCCAGCACTAACTCAAATACATCCTTGATGATATACAGTTGACCCTTGAACAACATAGGCTTGGACTGTGTGGGTCCACTGATAGGCAGATGGTCTTCCACCTTTGCCAGCCCTAAGACAATGAGACCAACCCCCTTCTCTTTCTCAGCCTATTCAATGAGAAGACCTGTAGATCATTCACTTTCACTTAATGGACAATAAATACATTTTCTTAGGGTTTTTAAAATAGTATTTTCTTTTCTCTATCTTATTTTAATAACGCAATATATAATACATATAACAAAGTATATGTTAATGGCCTGTTTATGCTATTGATAAGGTTTCTGGTCATCAGTAGGATATTAGTAGTTAAGTTTTGGGGTAGTCAGAAGTTATATGTGGATTTTTGATTGCATGGCAGTTGGTGCCCCTATGCCGGCAATGTTCACGGGTCACCTGCACTCACAAAGCATCCTTCTCCCAAACTAAAAAATACAAGAAATTTTATAATGTTGCCCAAAGGATGTTAAACAGATCTCTTAGCAGAGTATCAAATTGTAGCATTCAATAACTTGGTAATTTTATGTTTTAATAACCCTAAAACCATATTTGTAAGCTCAGAGTAGTTCTAAGCTGTAGGTAAAAATTAAACTCTTAACAGCGCTGACCAATATTCACCCAAAAATGAAACCTTAGACGAAACTTGTCTTTTTATTGTATGTCAAAGAATGAGAGATCTTTCCCCAGTAATCACATCACTAAGGAAACATTCAGTTTTGAACAGAAGAGTAGGTTAATTTAGGGGCATACAACCCTCTGCAGGGCAAAGAAGGTAAGTATGTACAGGGATATGTCCTGGCAAGCTCAGAGCAGCAGAAGGCTGAGGGTTACCTACAAAGATGGCCAGAAGAGGTAGAGAAAAAAGACACAGAAAGATGGCAAGAGGGCCCAGGAACAAAGGAAAACCCCTGAGCCATCTGGGTTCCAGGACTCCCTAATACCAGAATCCCAGGCTGGTCTGTGTCACAATACAGATTTAGTAGGTGTTTAGAGAATAGTCTGAGAACTATTTCAATACATAAATGTGTTCTGAGGTCCAACCAGTCAAAATGACTGTTTTTGTTTTTCTTTTTAAAGATAATGGTAAAATGGAGATTGCCTACAAGTACATTTAAGTTCTATTTCAATTAGCATTTAATAAATGACAGATACTTTTGCTAACTAAAGCACATAATGCAAATAAAAATAAATGAAGCAATCTGGAATCTGCATTTACTCACGGAGCAGAAGTAAGATGGTTATGCACACTTCGGCTTTCCTTAAAAAGCATTCTGAAAAAAGTAAAAGGATATAGTCATTTTTTTATTGCAGATAATATGATAATTGTTTTATTTTTTAATCACTTGATTTTTTCTTTTTATAATCACTCAATTTTCAATAGGCTATTACTTATTTACCAAGTATAAATTGTAATAGCACAAATACACTCAATAATGCATTTTATGGAGATCTTTTCTGTTGATTTAAGGATCAACAGGATCCCTCTAAGATCATGAGTTGAGATAGTCAAGTTTATCAATTTTTACATTCTTAACTATTGAGGGCTACCCTTAGTTTCTTGAGATACCACTCTGTATTAACTATTTTCAATAGAACCTAAGGCTGTGTCTTTTTTCCTGTGTTCTAAATCACATATTCAATTCCTTATCATCACTGAAGTTTCCTGCCCAAAGTTCCTAACACTTTGAAAGTCTTCTTCCCTCCCCTTTTCTCCACTAGTAAATCCAGGTGACAAAAAAATAAAAGGTCAATAAAAAAATCACCTTATGCTGATCTCAACATTTTTATGTCCACAAGACTATCATTGGTTTGTCTTTTAAGTGCTTGATGGTTTCAAACCAAAGATCATCTGAGATAACTTAGCAAAATCAATGTCACATAGATGTGTGCATGTATGTCTGTCTCTAATGATAGCAAAAATAAGAAAGTAAAATAAAATCCAGGAAGTCAAATTTCTTACCTTGCCTGCATCCAGCCCTTAGGCCACAAGGGCTTTACCTCTGTCTCCATGAAGGATTTAAGATAATCCTCAGCAGACTGGCTTTTGTTTGGCTCTAACTCATAGCATCCCAATTTGATCTCAACAAGGTTACATAACAAGGTTCTAAATGAATTGAAAAAAGAGATATTTATATAAAAATCTGACTGTAAAATTGTAGAACTTTGAGTTTGAAACAGATTTTATAAAAAAGCACATAAATCTGACAGCAGTAATATAGAATATTATCTAAAGAATTCAGAAAATGACATGAAGATAATTTTTAACATATATCATTCACTGCACTACAATCAAGCCCCCAGTGAGAAAATTTCCTTTGATACCTTTAAGGAAGGCACTAAAGTGAAAGGAACAGTTCTCTATTTGGGACATAATGATGAAAGAGAGGACTAATCAAAGTCAATGGACACTTCACTTCTGAACCAGTATGAATTACTACATTAACAGTATATATGAAAATAAAAGTGATAATACTGTAAGTATACTGGGACCAAATTAATATTTTTTTAAAGAAATGTTCCCTCTATACTAATCTTTGGTTGCTTCCAATCTACTTTCATATTTACCATAGATTCTTCTTACTAGAAATCTTACTTTGGCACTATATATTTGATTAAAGCAAAACCCAGGTAAATCTTACCTGATGGTATCATCCCAGTGGAATTTTTTTCTTGGTCCTATGACACGCTTCCCTGGCTTCTCATCATCATCTTCCTCAGATCCATTTTTTTCTCGTTCTTCATCTGTTTGTAATCTAAAAATGAAAAGCATTTTATGAAGCAAAATTTTAATCCAACATAGCCCATAATATGTTCCACAAACACTTGCCGAATAGCTTAATCAGCAATTAACGCAACTTAAAACTTTGAAAATTACTATTTCATTAATGAAGGTCTCATACGACATTTTTAAACAAGATACTTGTCTAACTGATGCATTTTAACCTAGTGAAGTAAAAATATTCCCATAGGGTGAGGTATCTTAGCTTGTCAATAATTTACTCAACAAACACTTGAGTATTTTCTTCTACAATATAGGACTCAAAAGATTTTTTTTTTAAATTTTCAAATCTTTTCACACTGGTTTCTAAAAGGACAAGGTTCCATGGTAATTTTTCTTATCTCCCCCCCCCCCCGCCTTTTCACAGTTTATTTAAATTTTTTATTTAAATAAATTAACAATAAATAAAATAATAAATTTTTTATTTAAATAAAAAATTACAAAGTTTTTGTTAAGTTTTTTTAAATAAAAAGATCACAAAGTTTTTATCAAGTTAAATCTCATTCACAATTTCTTGCCATGGTTTAATTTTTCCTTAACTCAAAAGACAGAATAAATAAGGGATCTACCTTTCCACATAGGAATTTAGAGGCTGTTATAAAGTAGTTTGGTAAATAAGATCTTTTTTTTTGAACTTAGAGGCAGTTATAAAGTAGTTTGGTAAATAAGATCTTTTTCTTTTTTTTGGTTGCAGTTTGGCCGGGGCCAGGTTTGAACCCGTCACCATCAGTATATGGGGTCGGCACCCTATCCACTGAGCCATAGGCACCTCCTGGTAAATAAGATCTTTGAACTATAATATAAAGGCACAAACAATCTCATCTCTCAGGTCAGAAAATATTTTTGTCCAACCTCAGCTTGACAAGTTAGTCAACATGTGATATGTCTGACTAGTGTCAATCAGCTCTTACTCTGCTCACATACACAAATTTAATCAACAGATTTGTGTTTTTCTCCAAAGCAAATGAGCGCCATTTAGACATGCCATTTAGAAAATATTCAATTATATCATGTCAGCGATCTACATGGATTCCTACTTGAAAATGAGGCCTATGTAATACCAACCCCCAACAACTAAAAGTAGTCATCAAATGCACAAGTCCCAGATGGATGAGATACGTACTTGGCACACTTAGCTTGACTGCGAGCCTGGCAATCCTCCTGGTATTTAAACAGCTGTTCAGGCATGACATTGCTAACAGCCAGTTTCAGTTTCTGCAGGGGTTCTCTTAAACGATCATCCTGAGAAAAAAACATACTAAAAGTTTTTTCCAAACATATTTATAAAATTCAAAAGATGAAATTTACGTTTTAGATATCAATTACAATTTGATACAGTAGCATATTTAAATATGGACATTTCTTTGACAGCCAGGACTTTTCATAATGCATATTGGGTATAAAATTAGGATGATCATATTTCTCAGTTAGCCAAGAAGAATCCCAGTTTTTACCTACTGCCCCAGCATAATTATGAACGGTTGTCCTTTACATTCTTTTTTTTGTTGTTGGAGAGAAAGTCTTGCTTTGTCTCCAGGTTAGAGTGCCAAGGCATCATCACAACTCACAGCAATCTCAAACTCCTAGGCTCAAGTGATTCTCCTGCCTCAGCCTCCCAAGTAGCTGGACTACAGGTGTGCATGACCACACCTGGCTAATTTTTGTAGAGATGGGTTCTCACTCTTTTTCAGGTTGGCTTCAAACTGCAGGTGATCCACCGCAACCTCCCCAAATGCTAGAATTACAGGCATGAGTTATTTGTGCCCAGCTCCTTTATACTCTAAAACGCCCCATGGAGGCTAGGCGTGGTGGTTCATGACTGTAATCTCAGCACTCTGGGAGGCCCAGGCAGGTGGATTTCCTGAGCTCAGGAGTTCCAGACCAGCCTGAACAGACTTAATAAAATTAAAAAAATAAAAATAAATAAATAAAGAAAGTAAAAAAAAAAGATTGAAACCCCTTCTCTAAAAATAGCTGGGCATGGTAGCAGGTGCCTACAGCTGCTTGGAAGGCTGAGGCACCAAGAGTTTCAGCCCAAGAGTTTGAGGTTGCTGTGAGCTATGACACCACAGCACTCTACCAAGGGGAAAGAGAGACTCTGTCTCAAAAAAAAAAAAAAAAGCCCCATGGACACTTTAACTATAATACAGATGATTAAATAGAGAGAAAAATCTACAGTAATTCCAGCACTTTGGAAGGCTGGGACAGGAAGATTACTTAAGCCTAGGAATTGAAGGCTACAGGAGATATGATCATGCCTCTGTACTCCAGCCTGTTTGACAGAATGAAATCATGTCTCAAATAAATAAATAAATAAATAAACAAACAAACAAATAACAAATTCTACCTGTACAAACTACCAGTGGCTAATCCCACTATGATGGGGAGCCAGTGCCATAAGAAAAGACACTGCTGTGAACCAACGATTGGACTGGGTGGCTACCAACAGGATACTGGCATCCCATTCTCTTGGTTATTAGGGAGTATGAGTAATAGTGACTTATGATGCAAGCAAAAATGCAGGATCAAGGCTGAAGTGAAAGAGGAACCGGAAAACTTTTATTCATGTGGGTTCAGGGCAAAAGGGAAAGCAAGTAGGTTTGTACCTGACAATATTAATTAACCAATTTATTATTTTCATCTTACAAATAAGAACGTATATATGTATTTAAAACATACTTTTATCACCATCACAGGTGCAGAAATATTACAAGACTTTGCTGTTCTTCAAAGAAACAACTATTTTTAAATGTGATTTTTGGTAAAAAGAAAGATTTTTAAAACACATTTGTCATTACCAATAAGCATTTTAATCTATTCCATGCATACATATGTATCAATGAATATGTAACACATATGACAGTAACTGGTATGAAATCCTATTTTTAAGAATATGAACATCAAGTATCATGGCTCCCAGATGATCACTTTTGAAGAATTATGTAGCTGGGGCTATCTGCCAAGAAACAGCCCAAATATCCATCAATAATAAAATCGACAAATTAATTGGGATATGTTCATATAATGGAGCACAGTACATATAGCAAATAAAAAAAGAATGGATTTCTACTATATACAGACATAAAACTGAATTACACAATATTGAGTGGTAGAAACTTGCAGAAGAAAAGAGTGTATCTCTATATAGAGCTTAAAAAATATGCAACGCTAAATCACATACTATTTAGGTAAACAAATATATGTGACTAAAACTGTATAAAGAAAAGCAAGAATGAGATAAATGTCTTTCTTCCATAGCCAACTTTAAACACCAAATGTTTCTCAGAAAATGTTATAATCTGCAAAAAGTTGATATTCTACTTCTAGTTCTTTTTTTTTTTTATTAGTATCCTTTGCTATCATTTGAACTTATGGCAGTAAGCTCTAATTGCCAATGTCTGAAGGAGTGAGGCAAAGGCACCAAATCTGAGACCTCAAATATATTTGACTTGCTCATTAACCTGCTTTAAATTGAGAAAAAAACTACAGTTTATCAAATCAAAAGTATTTTATTAACAGAAGTGAACACTAATATATTCACTATTTGTCAAATCATACCCACATTAATTTACCTCCAAAATTCTATGCCTTAGAAAATATTATTTATTACAAAAACCTAACAATTGTTGAATAAGTAATTATTTTTCTGGGGATCCAACATGTCTATAAAGCAATTAAGGTGCAGAGGCCCCCGTTAGAAACAAGTCTCTTTACTTTACAGGTTATGAAAGTCCAAATGCAGATACTAATTATTCTTCCTCTTACCTGGACATTCAGATGTAACTTCTTTAGACGTTTTACCAGTGTTTCTTTATTGCATGGCACAAAAGCTTCAAGGTGGGAATACACACCACTACGAATGACAGGGCCTAGTTCTTGTAGCTGTAACTCAATGCTGACCAAAGGAAAAGAAAATCCACAATAAACCATATAGAATTTTTTTTAGATGGTACCATATAGGCAAGAAGGCACGGGCAGCTGAATGATTTCATTTTATCTTTCCATGATTTCCTAGTGTTCTTCATGGGAAAAAACTCTACTAATAACTAGTAATTCTACAGAAAATATTCCAAGTCCAGTTTTAAAGCAGAATTATATGACCACAAACAAGGAGGCAATAAGGCAATATCTTTTTGGTAAAAGTGGCAAAGTCTTAATTCTGGGGTAAAGCCTAAGAAATCCATTACTAACTAAAAGCTAATTTTCTCAAAGAGATATTATACTATCACTATCCCTCTGTCACCCAACAACTGCTATCTGGCATGTCACAGTTTCATTGAGTGCTTATTCTTTTTTTGGAAGTGTTTGAAAAAGTAACAATTCAGGGGCGCCTGTAGTCCCAGCTACTCTGGAGGCTGAGGCAAGAGAATCACTTAAACCCAAGAGTTTGAGGGTGCTGTAAGCTGTGACACCACAGCATTCTACCCAGGGCAACAAAGTGAGACTCTGAATCAGGAAAAGAAAAAAAAGTAACAATTCAGAGCAGTAAAGCCCCTCTGGCTATATATATACATATATATACAAGCTACCTTATCTATCTTTGTTTCCCTTATTGTGTCTGCACTGCACAAATTACATACAGTACTTAATGGTTTGTTCAATTCATTCTAATTCTCCAGTTCCCATTTCCACCTACAAATTAGGCTTCTGAGACAAAAAACAAGTTGTTCACTGTGTATTTAGCTATTTTTTAAAAAGAGAAGAAAACAGTTTGTAACTGCCATCATATTTTTAGCAGGACAACCCTACTAATAAATAATAAGGTTCCCCCAATATGGAAGACATTATACCTGGCAGCTGTAGATAGATGAGAACAGATGTTCATTTGAAGGTCAAGACCAAATCGGGACTCTTGGCAAAAACCTATGTCCAAATCATCACATTCTATTATAGGAGAAGGTGCAGATAAACTTAGGTACTTCTCATAAATGTAAGCTGTATCTAAAAATTCAATAAATAGCTTTTTGGGAAGAACAGAAACCCTAACACACCAAATGCATTCATCACTTCTAAGATACACTGCAACTTCATTAAAAACAATGAAATATGAAAAATTATCCTCCTTAGAATTAGTAATAGAAAATTTTTGGTATTAAAGAAGCTAAACAGATAATAAAAAATGGCAAGAGGCTTAAGTCCTTTAAGAACCAGAGGGTCAAATGCAAGGGTACATATGGAAAACAATCAGTATGGCTGTAAATTCTGTACATATGAAACGTTTGGTTACATAACATTATATAGTTAAATCTTTACTACAAGGCTAGACTCTACGCAATAGGCCTTTTAGGTTTGTTCTATTACTAAAAATTTGTTAAGCTTAAAAATGAAATATAATCTCCAAGTACTAAGAGATTATGAGTAAGGGCAGACTGATTCAATGGCCTACTTAAAAAGATCAGTGGTTTCTAAAAAGGCTAATTCAGATATAGGAAGAGCTGATTCCCTGAAGAGAATACAATCCAAAAGTCCCTTTATACTGAGATTAAAGTCATTACTTATTCCTAAATTCCATAAAGGATCATGTGACAAAAAGATGGCAGTTAGGTCTCAATGCAAGTGTCCAGCAGGACTGGGAGTCCCTGTCTGGAACAACTCGTTAGGCAGAACTCTCAGCTGAATCCAGATCACAGGCAAAGAGTGTCACAATTTTTCAGCAATGTCTGCTTAGGTAATGGGCTGAAATCAAATCAGCATGTTGTATATTTATTGATCCAGGTTAAAATTCAGTTAGCAAAAAGAAATAGGTTTCCTTATTCCAGCAAATTGATCTCTTTTTTTCCTTAGTATAAGGAAGCAACAGTATGGGAGAGACAATATACCTGGACATCTTTACAGGGATTATTATCCCAAATGATTATGCTTTACATGCCCTTACAAGAGCAACTCGGTCTAGAAAAATAAGACATGTTTATGAAAGCAGAAAAAGAGGTAACTACTAAAACAAAAAAAATTCAACTCTGAACACTAGGACTTGTGGAACTCCAGGCACATCCTGTGTGAAATAAAAAGTAGATGGGCTTCAAAAAACAAAAAGATTTATTTCAAGATAGACATGGGAGGATGAACAAGAAGCCTATTAATGGAATGCTGATATTCTGCGTATTTGAGATGCTATGTCCCAAAATGGTCTTTTGACTCTCCCAGGGGAAAAATAGTTGTTCACTCCTACAGAAGCATAAAATAAAAGAGGATAGTCTCAGTTACAAGAGAAGGACCTCATCTAGTACACTCAGGGCTCTCAGGTGGAAAGCAAAAGAAGAGCTGGTCAGATCCCTGATCATAGAATCTGGGACAGCTCTGATCAATGGTGGCTGCACTGTTCACTGAGTCTGTGGTTTAAAAGAGAGATAGGTAAGAGGAGGTGGCACAGACAGGAAGTATTTACCTGGCTTCCACGCAGAAAGACTGATTAGAAAAATCCTGGCTGAAATAATTAAGCACAGGAACGAGAAACACCTCCACAGCCATACTAGCAGCATACTAGGTTCTATGTTTTCTCAGCCTATGTATTTTTAAGTAATCCAAAATAAAAGAGACTGCAATTAATTACAACAGTTATCAGAACCAATGAACCAATAAGTCTGTCTTCACAACTCATGAGAAACTATCTCCATTATGTATTTAAAAGTCAGGAATCACTGTATTAAAAATTCCTGTGTCTTTCTATTTGATGCTACTAAACTACCAAGAGTAGGCATACATTATTTTCATGAGAGAGGAGTGAAATTTACTGCTTTCCTTGTGATCACTTTTTTGCCCAGTTCTGTAGCCAATTATGTATGTGATTCCTGCATCCAATGGTTAAAATCTACAAGCCGATAGGTTTACAAGTACAGCTTATGGACCACAACCTTAGAAACCATAGCTTTCTTAGTATCTAACTTGAAGAATATAAAATTATTGCTAGCCTAAATACATATAGCAGCCAGCATTCATTTTCTTTTCCCAATCTAACTTCTGTTTTCTCCACATTACCTCCATCCTACCTCACAACCATGACTTGTTATGAAACTATACTTTCCATTTGGCTACAAATGTTTGTATGAATTGTAATTAAGCTCATTAGGTATCAAGGTAATTATTATTCCCAAGAATGAATAAAAAGCAAATGGAAAATCAGGCCAAATCCAGTGGTCCAGGAGAACCAATACATGCAGAAGCATAATCCTGCTGAGAAACAAATCTTAACCATGTATGCCATGAGGCTGAAAGGGAAGAGAGAACGCATGAGACTAGCCAATCACTCAGCATCTGTATCTCAAAGCCCTACTACATTTTTAAATAAATCATTCTTAAGATTTTTTAAATAAAAACAATTACTTACTCTAGAAGGATATTATTCATATCCTGTGTAAAGAATTTTTTCCTCCCTTCTTCATCAAAAAGTTTGGCAGCCTAGAGAAACATAAGAAAGACTGTCATAACTCATAATAAACAACTGCTTTTTTTTTAAGAGGAGGTCTTGCAATGTTACCCAGGCTGTCTCAAACGCCTAGGCTCCAGTGATCTTCCCATGTAGCTGGGATCACAATCACATACCACCACGGTCTTCTGCAACAAGTAATTATTCTGCAATATATAGGCTACCACATGAGTTGTGATATTCAACTGGATATTGTATAAGTTTCCCACAGCTGCTATAACAGATTACCACAAACTTGGTGCCTCAAAACAACAGAAATTTATCCTCTCTCAGTCTGAAGTGAAAATCAGCATCACTGGGCTGAAATCAGTATAAACAGGGCTGAGTTTCCCCCAAAGACTCCAGGGAAGGACTTGCACCCTTGCATCTTCAAATCTCTCTGCATCCTCCCTTCACATAGCCTTTTCCTCTGTTTGAATGACCTCTCCTCCCTCCTCCCTCTTGTAAAGATACATGTGATTGCATTATCCTAGAATCACAGATCCATAGGCTCTAGAATACCACTCCCATCTCAAAATCTTTAATCACAAATGCAAAGCTTCACTCCCCTTCTCCAATATGAAATAACATTCACAGATGTCAGGGGTTAGAATATGGTTATCTTGGCTGGGTACAGTGGCTCACACCTATAATCCTAGCACTCTGGGAGGCAGAAAGATCGCTTAAACTTAGGAGTTCAAGACCAGCCTGAGCAAGAGAAAGACACCATCTGTACTAAAAATAGAAAAGCTAGCTGAGTATAGTGATGAATGCCTATAGTCTCAGCTACTTGGGAGGATGAGGCAAGAGGATCACCTGAGCCCAAGAGATTGAGGTTGCTGTGAGCTATGATGCTACAGCACGCTACCCAGGGTGACAGAGTTTCACTCTGTCTCCAAAAAGAAAAAGCCAGGAGTGGTGGCTCATGCCTGTAATCCTAGCATTCTGGGGGGCCGAGGCAGGTAGACTGCCTGAGCTCACAGGTTCGAGACCCCTAAACCAGAGTGAGACCCTCATCTCTTAAAAAAAAAAATAGCCAAAGGCATTATGGCAGGCACCTATAGTCCCAGCTTGGGAGGCTGAGGCAAGAGAATTGCTATAGCCCAAGAGTTTGAAGTTGATGTGAGCTATGATACTCAGGCACTCTACTAAGGGAGACAAAGTGAGACTATCTCAAAAAAATAAATAAATAAAAAAGAACATGGATAACTTTTGGAGGATCCACTATAGTTATTTAAAAAATCTATAAAAGTGGTCGGGTGTGGTGGCTCACACTGGCACTCTGGAAGGCCAAGGTATGTGGATTGCCTGAGCTCACAGGCAGTGAGCAAGAGTGAGACCCCCATCTCTAAAAATAGCCAGGCATGGTGGCGGGCGCCTGAAGTCCCAGTTACTTGGGAGGCAGAGACAAGATAATCTCTTGAGCCCAAGAGTTTGAGGTTGCTGTGAACTATGACACCATGGTAAGAAAATGAAAAATAAAAGATTGATTCTCATTAAGGTTAAAGATCTTTAGATCTTTAGAACATTAGAAATAGAAATGAACATTGGGTGGTGTCTGTGTCTCAGTGGGTAGGGCACTGGCCCCATATAATGAGGGTAGCGGGTTCAAAACCCAGCCCTGGTCACATTGCAACAAAAAGATAGCCGGGCATTGTGGCCAGCGCCTGTAGTCTCAGCTACTTGGGAGGCTGAGGCAAAAGAATCACCTAAGCCCAAGAGCTGCAAGTTGCTGTGAGCTGTGTGATGCCACGGCACTCTGCCAAGGGTGACAAAGTAAGACTCTGTCTCTACCAAAAAAAAAAAAAAAAAAAAAAGAAACAAACATTTAGAATGAGTACAGGAGGCTGAGGCAAGAGGATCGTTTGAGCCCAAGAGTTTGAGGTTGCTGTGAGCTATGACACCACAGGACTCTACCCAGGGTGGCAAAGTGAGACTCTGTGTCAAACAAACAAATCACGTGACTTTGGGAAAATCATTTAACCTTTTGAACCTTAGTTTCCTCATCTGTTAAATGGGAGAAACACTACCTAGCTCACATTGTTGGGAGGATCAGACTATACAGTATGTAAAATCTATCAAACCCAGTCAGGGTCATTGCCTCCCAAGAAGTGAAGAGGGCCTTGGTGGGACACCATAGCACTGCACCCAGTAGATAGGATCAGTGTTTGCTGAATAAGAACAGGTATTATCACTAATAATTATACCTTGAAAAACCTGAATCACATCACTAGCACTTTTAAAAATTTACAAAAAACAAAAGGTTTCAGAGATGGGGCAACACAGGAAAGCAGAAACTATGTCCTCTGACATAAAGTGAATCCTATATTTAAATTGTGGCTCTATCACATCCTAGTTGTGTAGCCTTGATAAAATTATTTAACCTACCTCAGTTTAAGTCTCTTACCCATAAAAAGGAAATAATATTTACACTTCATACATGAAGTTGGAAAGATTAAACAAGATCTTATTTATCATGTTTCCCCAAAAATAAGACCTACCCAAAAAATAAGCCCTAGCAGGATTTCTATGCATTTGTTACATATAAGCCCTACTCTGATAATAAGACCTAGTGATGGGCCTATCTGCATAGCCACACCATGCATTTTGGCACAGAGACATCCCCTGAATATAAGCCCTAGTGTGTCTTCTTGAGAAAAAATAAATATAAGACAGTGTCTTATTTGGGGGGAAACACGGTAGGTGGAAACTGTGGTGGGTGCCTATAGTCCTAGCTACTTGGGAGGCTAGGGCAAGAGAATCTCTTCAGTCCGAGTTTGAGGTTGCTGCGAGCTATGATGCCATGGTACTCTACTAAGGGTGACAAAGTGAGACTCTGTCTCATAAATAAATAAATAAATAAATATGCAATAAAGCCCAATTATATCTTAATAACTCTAGGTCAGATCAAATCTTTTGTTAAAAGATAAAATTTCTGATTAGGTCAGGAAATAAATTTTCATTTCTACGCTACCTATAATAGAGCTAAAATAAGGGAACTCAAAAAGATGAAGATAGACCACACATGGAAATCAGTTGGAACAATATTATAAAATAACTAGGTGTCAACATAGTTTAGACCAAGTTTAAGCACACTTATGCAATGTTTAATCCCATCACTAAGGAAGGCTAAGACAGTAGGACAGGACTTTCAGGCTACAGTGAGCTATGATTCCACCACTGCCTTCCAGCCTGTGCAAGAGAGGGAGTGCAAAAGATGGAAAAATTTATACCATGCAAAAATAAACAAAGAGAAAGGGCATCTACGTTAAAATAAGACAACATTAAAATCAAGGTGAAAGCGTTAACAGGACAAAAAGGATCACTTTCAAATGATGATCACCACAATGATGACAGAGTCATCAAGAATCTCATATACTAAACAACCAGCACAGAAATAAACAGCAAAAATTACGGTAAAGACAATGTATAATTAAATATAACAACGAGACTGAGATACTTTAACACACTTGTCTAACTCCTGGACTGATGAAGTAGATTAAAATAAGTAAAAATATAAAGAAATAAATTAGCAACTCATGACCTCAGAAAAAACACTAAACAACACAATAGAATAAAATCCAAGGGCCAGTTGTTGGAAAGATTAATCTCTTCCTCCCCTAATCAGATATTGTAGAATAAGACCATATACTACAATCCCATTAACGTCTTTCATTCATTCAGAGACAGGGTCCCACTCTGCTGGCCAGGCTGGAGTACGGTGACCTGATGATAGCTCACTGTAACCTCAAACTCCTAGGCCCAAGTGATATCATGATTCAGCTTTCCAAGTAGCTGGGACTATAGGCATGCCCCCACCATACTTGGCTAATTTTTAATTTAGTTTGGCTAGTCTCAAACTCCTGGGCTCAAGGATCCTCCCATGTAAACTTCCTAAAGTGCTGAGATTACAGGCATGAGCCACTGTGCCCAGACTGTATTTTTTTTTAACTGGGGAGGTGGGTGGGGAGACCCAAATTACTAAAATATGAATGGGTTCAACCATGCTGAAGTAATTAAAAATGGACAATTTTAGACAAGGCTTGGCACATTTTAAGACAAAATACTATCTCTCCTAAGATAAAAAGGAAATGTGTGAGATGTAACTAGATTTGTAGCTAGTTAAACAAGAAGATTGTGAATCTAAGTCAATCTGAAAAGTAATCTATGTTAGCAGGCTACAAAGCTCCACTCTTACTAAAGCTACTGATCAGCTGTAACAATATTATAAATTAACTAGGTGTCAACATAGTTTAGACCAAGTTTAAGCACACTTATGCAATGTTACTGTATTTGTTTGTTTCTTTCTTTCCTTTTTTTGAGACATTGTCTCACTTTGTTGTCCTTGGTAGAGTGTTGTGGCTTTCTTGATTCTGTTTTATTTTTGAAATCTATACAAAAAAAAATACTTCTTAGGTGAACTGAAATAATAATAGAATCAACTGTATCCATTATAACTATAGTTATTTCTATTTATTTATTTTATTTTATTTTTGAGACAGAGTCTCACTATGTAGACTCAGTAGAGTGCTGTGACAGCACAGATCACAGCAACCTCCAACTCTTGGGTTTCAGCGATTCTCTTGCCTCAGCCTCCCAAGTAGCTGGGACTACAGGTATCCACCACAGTGCCCAGTTATTTTTTGTTGTAGTTGTTTAGCTGGCCCGAGCTGGGTTCGAACTTGCCACCCCTAGGTGTATGTGGCTGGCGCCATAACCACTGTACTATGGGCGCCGAGCCAGTTATCTCTATTAAAAGAAAAGACCTATGCATATAGTCAATGCCTAAAAGGAAATATGACAAAAAGTTATTAGAAGGATGGTGGGTTATTTTTGTCTTTAAAAGAAAAGCATTTATTGTTGTTTGTAGAGCAAATAATTACCAAGACAATTATACTTACTACACGGAGGTCTTCGATACGTTTCTCAAGAAGTACAGGTAGACCCTCTGGGAGTGTAGGTACCACCTTGGGCATAACCTGAGAGGTGTAGGTTGGCTGGGTGGTGTTTCCATTTTCTCCCCCTGACTCAGATAGGGGGCTACCATCAGAAGCAGCATCCAGTAATCTGTCAAAGTCGAAATCATCTAGTATCTCTAGGGCATTTTCAGCTTCCTGAAAGAGTTCATGTTCATTTGTGCTAACAAAAATGGGAAGGTCTGGATCAGCGCTGTTGAGATTTAGGTCTGGGACATCATTCCCCAATGCTGCAGCAGCACAAGGGGGTTTATTCAGAGAGGAGGTCGATAAGGTCACTGGGATTTTAGGGTTAGACTCCTTCTTTAATGCATCCTTCTCTTTTTGAAATTTTCGTATCATGGCAGCTAGATAAAGAGAATCTTTATAACGTTTCTTCTTTTTTTCAGACTTGTGTGAATTTAGAGCCACAACTCTGTGAAGAAAGAAAAGTGATCAAAAAGGCTATGTGATTTGATGAAAAAAGAGTTGCCTTACAACCAGCGAAGTTCACATCACGTATCTTTAAGCTGGTACCTACCTGTGACTTGTGCTTCAAACTGCCAAAGAAGTATCAATACACAATCCCGTCTTGAGCTGCAAGCCTTTACTCACTGTTATGTGGTCTTTTTAGAGACCCTACTCTCTTTGCTACTGCCTTCTGAATATTTTTCACGTTCTATTTCAGAAACAGCCATGTTAAGCAATCAGATAGATATGTGTAATTTTCAATGATAGCTTTTTTCCCTACAGAAACTATAGGGAAGATCCTGGGTTAGCTATCACTTCCTTGAAGAAATCTTTTCTTTTTTTTTTTTTTT